GCGGCTGCAAGGAGGCTAGGAGTCCTTGCAAAGGTGCGGCGATACTTCACGCCGGGACAGATGCTTACTTTATATAAAGCCCAAGTCCGGTCGTGCATGGAATATTGCTGCCATATATGGGCTGGTGCTGCAAAACGCCACCTAGCGGTCTTGGACTCAATGGAAAGGCGTGCTAAGAGGCTTATTGGTGACCCGAATTTGGTTGAAACAAATCTTACCAGCCTCGAACGCCGGCGTAAAGTAGCCAGCCTTTCGGTCTTCTACAGGATGCATTTCGGAGAGTGTGCGCAGGAATTGCATAATTTAATTCCTCCTACTCCCTTCCAGAGCCGTGGTAGCTCAGATGATTAACGCTCTCTGTAAATATAACAGAACGCGAGTAACTGTTTGCCGGATAATGAAATTGTTAATAGCAATTTTAAATGCTGATTTACCACGTGCTCGGCGGTGAAGGAAAACATCGTAAGGAATAAGAAAAAAAATATTTCGAACACATGTGAAGTTCGCCAACACGCATTGAGGCTGCGCGGCGGACACTTTCTTGCCTTAAAACCCTCTCAGAAATGAGTGGAGGCCTGTGCCCAGCTGTGGGACGTATATAGGCTGTAACTTTACTTTTACTTTACTCCCTTCCACCATCGGACAACCAGATGTTGTTGACCTTTCGTTGTTGACCCTTTCGTTGTTGACTTACCACGCTTTCGAACCAAGCGGTTTGCTACGTCGTTCGTCATGCTTACAGCAAAGGAGTGGAATAAGTTGTCTTTCCATCCGATAACAATGTGGGTGTCCTCAAAGTAAGAGTTAATAGGTTGTTGTTAAGTCAGTGCGCGTTACCACCTCAAGCTACATCACCACTTACCACTGACCGCTAAGTGCTGGCTTAGAAAAGTTTAAAAAAATATCCATAAAAATAATAATCCAGCCAAACCAGATTTGAATACTCTATGAATACCCCGAATAATAATAAATATTATGTTGCTTTTGTTGAAAATCTATGAAGAGGCTTATATAGAATTCAGCCGGATTCATAATAATCCTTGGAGATGAGGTGATGGCTTAAATGAAATATATTTTTTATAATTCTTTGTTGTAAAATATTACATTGAAAAAAAAACCCTCTGGATTTCTTGCTAGTTCTTAGGTGATGGAATTTGAATAAGTATTATTTATAATCGATATCGATAATATATTCCATTATTTTCAATTTTTTTTTCTTATAAATTATCGATTTGAGAGTCGCAGTAAGCTAACTGCCCGGTTTATTCTACATCATAATAATTAAACGTTCTAAATAGTTCATCGCTATTAACATATCCATAAAACATACGTAAACATTATAAAAATAACACCTTAAACTCAGTTTCCTGGAACCGAGTAAATGTTTTGGAATAAAAGCTTGTGAAAATCGATTTAAGTAGTCACACAGCCAGCGGCAAGATGAAATATCCAGTGAGGTGTTTAGAGGAATTTGGGTCAGCTCTGCCGTAATATGGTCGCCTAATTGATGGACGGAGGCGTCGGTGCGTGGAATATCATGCATCATGGGTTCCGTGGATTTATCGCTTATTCTCGTAAACGGTTGACATTTTATGATATTCGGTTTGTTACGTAATGCTCATTTAGTCTTATTTAAAACTAGTGACCCGCCCCGGATTCGCCTGGATCTATTAATGTTGCGTCATTTAGTTTAAGATAATCATCAAATATTATTATTGTTTCAATTTTTTGCCAAAAAAATCAAGATTTTTGGTTAAAATCATAGCCTAGATCACGCATTGCTCGGAGATAAGCAGCTTCATAATAATAACACAAAATAATAATAAAAACTGCTGGTGTCCACTCGTGCAACTGGCAGATGTGGCAAATATTCCCCTATGAGGACATCTGTGGGTTTTTTATAGGATAAAGCGCACACTCCTGATGGTAAGTGCTTGTTGTGGTCCATAGACATCTACATCTATCCTCGATCAAAAATCAAAATGCAGATGCGTTGTCACCCGTGAGGACTAAGATGGAATGCCTCGTTTCCAGTAAAAAGGGCCTCCGGTTCTCTACACTCATCATAAGAAACACAGCAGCATTAAACTACTACTTTACGCTGGTATTCTGTGAGAGCGTGGTCCTTCCCCGGTCGAGCCGACCCTACATATTTGTGCTACAACTGTACTAATAACTGCTCTACCAAAAGCCATGCTGCAGTTATTAGTAGTAGTTAAATGTAGTGATGAATTAATAAATAAAATACATTACTTTTAATGAGGTAAAAGTGGTAAACGAGCACACAGTCCTCCTGATAGTAAGCGGATGCTGTGGCTCAAAGACATCTTACCTCATTAAGAAACAAAACGCAGATGCTAAGGTATCATCACTTTTACCAATAAAAAGACGAAATTAATTAACGGGATGGAGTTATGGTGATGAACATTTGCCGGTTTGTCACATTTAATGAAAAAGAGGCATTCCGTCTTAGTCTAATACTAAGATGGAATGCCTCGTTTTCATTAAAAAGGATCTCACACTGTTCCTTGCGTTAACTTTTTGTCAAAAACATTAACCCGCCCGTGCGCTCCATAAGTTATGGTCGAATAAATGGTAGAGAAAAGCATTAAAAAAATATTTGTTATTTTTTCACAACAACTCACCAAACTCCCCTATGAGGACAACGTAATCGACAAACAAAGAGACATTAATTTTTATATATGTACATATATATATTGCAAATTTTACTTTTTTGTTTAAATAAGGTAAAAAACCGGCCAAGAGCGTGTCGGGCCACGCTCAGTGTAGGGTTCCATAGTTTCCCGTCCGTCACAATAAGTGTTCCCACTTATGAGTTTAAAGGTGGGTATCCATTATGTTCGCGCTCCAGCAGCGCTCCGCGCTCCTGCAACTGCTCCCGGTAGTGGGTACTGTTGTTTCCATCCAAGTTCAAAATAATTTTCCTAGAAAGTCCTTATAAAGTTCTACTTTTGAGATTTTTTTCATATTTTCTAAACTTATGGTTCAAAAGTTAGAGGGGGGGACACATTATTTTTTACTTTTGGAGCGATTATTTCCGAAATTATTGACATTATCAAAAAATGATTTTAGTAAACCCCTATTCATTTTTAAATACCTTTCCAACAATATATCACACGTTAGGGTTGAAATTAAAAAAAAAATCATTCCCCACTTTACATATAGGGGGGCTACCCTAATAAAACATTTTTTCCAATTTTTATTTTACTACTTTGTCGGCGTGATTGATACACATATTGGTACCAAATTTCAGCTTTCTAGTGCTAAAGGTCACAGAGATTAAGCGAGGACGGACAGCCGGACAGACAGACATGGCGAAACTATAAGGGTTCTTAGTTGACTACGGAACCCTAAAAAGGGACACAACTGATGGATGCTGTGGCCCATAGACACTTCACATCTGTCTTCGATTAAAAGTAAAAATGTAGGTGCGTTCACACCCCTACATTATTCCTAAAGTCCAAGGCTCTATTATTAACATTGCGGCGGAACGGAATGGTACCGAAGCGTCAATTTTGTTTCCTCGCCCGAGATGGCACGCGAGTCCGCGAGAATGCTCGAGAATTCTCGCAACTGCGCCTTGAGGCTATAACGTTCAGTTATTTAGTATGTCAGTAATCGTACTGCTTATTTGTGAGGCAGAAGAAGAAAAAAAAACGATAAAAAAGGAAGAATATCATAAAAAGGAAAAAAGATATTTGGGTTCATGATTTATGAAAGAAACGAAAACGTTACTCTTCGCGCCACTATTCCCGCGGATCTCACAGGCTTGGCCGATAGTAGCTATGCAAATTCTTGAGAATGCTCGAGAATTCCAGAGATGACGCGCGACTTATTTTTTGGCTCATATCTAGTTTGTGTGTTACACAATTAACATACATATTTACGAAAATTCGATCCCATTCCATTCCGCGGCAATGTAAATTGAGCCTATGATAGAATGCCTCGTTACGAAATGTAAAAGGGTCTCCAGTTCTCTACACCCACCATACGAAAAACAGCAACGTTAAGCTGCTACATTCTGCTGGTATTTTGTAATATTGCGGTCTTTTTCAGGTTGTGTCGACCCATTTATGTATGTTGCAACCATACTACAGCTGTTGTGTAGCTCTATCATGTTCTAAGGTGAATTTACCTCAGTAACTTTTCTGTAGTCGATTTTCACGTTGGTATTCTGCTCGTATGAATCCATTCAAGCCACGCTCGTGGCTCTACCACACGTGTGGCTCTGGCACATTCTAAGGCGAATGGCTGTTTTTGTCTTTGTCATTAATCAACTTGTCTTTGTCGATAAATACATTCGCCACCACTACAGCGTAGTGTGACCACTATGCCTATAGACACATTGCGGATAGTAACTACTAATTAAATCTTAGCTTCTAAAATCATACTATTCTATCTACTACACTGTCAATCAAAAAGTACTTCATTAACCAAAATGGGTGTTACATGATCATTATTATTAACTAGCTGTCTCCGCGACTTCGCCCGCGTGGAATTTCTTACGATTGAATTTTATGTTTTTTTTTTGCGCGAAACCATAATTCTTTTCATAAAATAAAAATAGCCTAAGTTACTTCTTATAATATCAGCTATCTGCCTGTGAAAGTCCCGTCAAAATTGGTCCAGCCGTTTCGGAGATTAGCCGGAACAAACAAACAGACAGACAAAAGTTAAAAAGTTGTGTTTTGTTATTAGTACCGTATATACTTAAATATGCATTTAGTAAAAAAAACTGTTGCCCAGGAGTGGGACGTATATAGGCTGTATGTTTAAGTTTAACCAGGTTTAACAGACACTTAAGTCTTATTTATTTGTATGGGATTTGTGATATTTTTAAATTATAATTCTTACGCGGTCTTGTTCAAGGTGATAACAGTTGTCGAATAATTAGTACCAAATAAAATAATTATGAATATAATATAATAATTGTCTGATTGAATTCTTGTGTAAATAAATGCGTTGTGTTGTATTTGCAGAAGTTCTGGGGCCCTCAAATAGATCCACGTCTCGCGCAGTACCTAACCAACTTTCTGTTTGGTTCGGGACAACAGAAGGTGCCGTCAGTGGACTTTAACAGATTCGCAGAGCTCTACGTTTATAATGTTAGAGGTAATTATTGCAAACTCATATAATTATAGTCTATACTCTGACCTCTGATTCGATTTGCAATCTTTTTGACGAAATAAGATAGCGACCTATAAACTATTTATTCAAGTGTGTTAAATTATTATCTTGTAATTCATGAGAAACAAAAATACGTTCAGCAGCGAAAGAATGATAAATAGAAGACTGTTTAAAATCTCTAGAAATCCAACAAAATGGCGTTTTCACATCGCAAAGTTATTCAAATCTATATTTGACTTCTGAGCTCACCAATTTTCGTACATACAGTTTACGTAGTTTATTTATATTTTTCCACGACGACTGCCGCATTGCCCTATGCGTATAGTGCCTCCACAGAGTACCTTATTAAAGTGCCTGGCATAGATAAATAAATATGTAGGGTGCCTGGCATAGATAAATAAATATGTAGGGTGCCTGGCCAAAGGTGCCTGGCTACTACCACAGAGTACCTTATTAAAGTGCCTGGCTACTACCACAGAGTACCTTATTAAAGTGCCTGGCTACTACCACAGAGTACCTTATTAAATTGCCTGGCTACTACCACAGAGTACCTTATTAAAGTGCCTGGCTACTACCACAGAGTACCTTATTAAAGTGCCTGGCTACTACCACAGAGTACCTTATTAAAGTGCCTGGCTACTACCACAGAGTACCTTATTAAAGTGCCTGGCTACTACCACAGCAGAGTACCTTATTAAAGTGCCTGGCTACTACCACAGAGTACCTTATTAAAGTGCCTGGCTACTACCACAGAGTACCTTTTTAAAGTGCCTGGCTACTACCACAGCAGAGTACCTTATTAAAGTGCCTGGCTACTACCACAGAGTACCTTATTAAAGTGCCTGGCTACTACCACAGAGTACCTTATTAAAGTGCCTGGCTACTACCACAGAGTACCTTATTAAAGTGCCTGGCTACTACCACAGAGTACCTTATTAAAGTGCCTGGCTACTACCACACAGAGTACCTTATTAAAGTGCCTGGCTACTACCACAGCAGAGTACCTTATTAAAGTGCCTGGCTACTACCACAGAGTACCTTTTACGTCACGAGTTCTAGATTTGAATTTCGGTCCGAGCTAACTAGAAAGAATTAGTTGAGGAGTCCCTTTTTGATTCTGCGATTACAAACCCAAGCAGGCGGACTGCCTCCCTCCTGAATATTAACTGGCCGCTTCTACTTTTATTTATTTATTTTATTTTATTCTTTATTGCATCCTTAAACAAAAGAATACAAAGGGCGGACTTAATGCCTTGAGGCATTCTTTACCAGTCAACCCATGGAGTGGTGAGAATTTTACGTAGGTGTGGCAATATAGAATAAGAGAACACAATACAAATGACAATTAACTACATAATATATACAAACTACTAATAAATAAACTATACATATATGATCTATCCTTACATATATACAAATATATAAATAAATGGATATACATACAAGTATACATATTTAAATACGTACATTATTAGTATATACAAATGACTATGAATATTATTAGTCATGTAAAATTCGTTGTCTTTAATAAATGATGGACGGACCAACTTTTTAAAAGCGTACTTATTGGGAGCTTTTCTGATGTCATTGGGCAAGGAGTTCCAAAGGCGTGTAGCCTGAACTGTGAAGGAGTTACCATAGAGTTACCATAGAACTCGGTGAAGTGAACTGGAGTACAGATTTTGTTGTTAGAAGAAGAGCGTAGGACCCTATCATGTAAGAATATTAATATATATAATATTCTCATAATATTAATATACTTTCTTTTTTATCATCCTAAAAGAGTTTAGTGTTAAATATACTAATAGGCCCTTCCATAGTGTAGCAATTGCGATACCAGAAGTCTAACACTTAAATCTTATTTATTTGATCGCTGATTCACAGGCCTGCTGACTATCGGACATCAAAATATGTTTTTCCCAACCATATAAGCTGGTGTACGAAATGGCTTTCATAGTGCAAAATTATGATTTAAAGCAAATTGCCTATTCTAAGGGCGTAAGGGACTGAATCTCTTCAATACAGGCTATTGTAAAGCTAAGCAAGGAGAACGGAACGTCACTCTCACTAGGATTTTTACCTGACTTTATTGCTATTCCATGCAAGATATTTTTTGAGTATGTACCACAATTTCAATAAATTATTTTTAAATTAATTACAGGCACCGTAGATGAAAGGATGATGGTGACATACAACTGTCTAGGAATGGACTACAACGAGGAAGTGGAGCTTCCTTACCAGCTGTTGAAAGAGGTGACATATTAATGTCCTCTAGACCGAATTTGGGTCACGGCGTCGAGTGTTAACGAGGCTATTCATCTGTACAGAACAGAATTATAGTGCAGAGTATGTGCACCAGCTGAGGTGTACTCTATATTCTTCTCACTCTCGTAGAGAGGGCGAAACACTGCCAACTTCATTACTCCGGGCAGCTATTTAAAAAACACCCAATAACTAATTTTGGCCCATGCCAGGTTTCTAGCCCAGGGCGACATAATCATATCCCTCAACATAGCCTCATATCCATCGTCGCGCTTACTAGGGTAAATAGGTACTAAAAAACGAGGTAATCAAGTGATATAGTTGTGGTATTAGAGTGGTTATAAGTATAAGAGTGAAACCTACACACGTCTTTGTACCTCTTATTAGGAAAATTGTTTTTGAGGCAAGGACGAGGTAGCCGCGCTTTACCAGTACATTGTTTTATAGAATAAAGGTGACAAACGAGCAAATCTTTTTTTATAGCATTGGGTGACAAACGAACACACAGTTCATCTGATAGTAAGTGAATGCTATGGTCCATAGACATCCACATTTCTCTTCAACTAAGGATCAAAATGCAAACGCGTTGTCACCCCTGAGGACTAAGATGGAATGCCTCGATTTTTCCAGTATAAGGGGTCTCCGGTTCTCTACACTTACCGTACGAAACACAGCAGCATTACGCTGCTATTTTACACTGGTATTCTATGAGAGCGTGGTTCTACCCCGGTCTAGCTGACCCATTCGTGCTACAACTATAATATACCATGTAAAAAAGTCCATAGTCCAGTCCATAGACATCTATCCTCGATTAAGAATCAAAATGCAGATGCGTTGTCACAATTGAGGACTTAGATGGAATATCTAGTTTCCAGTAAAAAGGATCATCGATTCTCTAGGCTCACCATATTCAAACCATGTACAAAATACAGCAAAATTCATCCGATGGGGCCCACCCATTCGTGCTGCAGCAATTATATAGCTGCAACGTGGCTTTATAACACGGATCACCACGTTGATGTCTCGTACCTTGATACAACTTACTTAGGATATTTAATGCCTGTTATAAACGAGACGGTCACTGCCATCTATCGGAGGCCATAAGAACTTTTCGCATTATATCATAATATAGCCGTCTCTTACGTCACTTATGAGACGAAATAGATTAATGAATACTCTTAGAACGATTGTCCACCGCCGCATTCGAAGGGAAATCAACGAAAACGAGATGACAGCGGCGAAGTAGCGACATATACATTTACTATAGCCGCCTGTCCACCGCAAGCCCGTCGCCCGAGCGCCGACGTCCCAGCCGCCGAAGTTTAGAGTAGATCGGCGCGACCGCTAGAACTCGGCCCGAGTTTGTGACGGGCCGATGTACCGGCAAGACAAAACAGGTTTAAACTTGTCCATCCACACCGGCGTCGTGACGTCGCACCACGGTGGTGCACGACAGCTATAACTTACAGACTGAACCACCGATATCGTCGCGGTGGACAAACGATCGCCGTCACGTCATCTTGATCTCGGCCAGAAATAATCTCGTTCCCGTTGACGGCGTGACGTGACGTGACGTGACGGTGGCATTGGACAATCTCCTTTACGACATCACTGCAAGGCATACAAGTTTGATCGAATGCCTTTCTCTTTTAGTACTGCGAAAGTATAGCGTCCACCTACATGAAGATTGTCAAGTCTTCCTCGTCGAAGAGAGTGCGCACGTGGATAGAGAAGGGCTTTAGAGTCAGTGCGTCTCACGTCCAAGCCCTGGGGGAAGCCGTGGCGGCGACAGTTGGCGATCTGGAATCGCCACAGCATCACTGTACTGCCGCCCAGCTGTCTAAGTGGTGAGATATTAAACGTTGCACTTAAGTGTCTAAATAGTTGGTAAGTTGTTAAACAGTGGTTTCAGATGCCCAAATGGTTGTCGAGATTAGGTGTCACAGACAATTGAAAAAATAGGGTGGATTGAGAAAGACTGCCGACTGGCAGAATCTTCTTTTTAGCAATCCGTAGAATTCTTCACCGACCCACCGGTCATAGAAAATGGTCGGTTGGTCGGGCATGAACCTCTCCTGGAGCGTCCTCTAGTGGATTTGCCGTAACTCCTAAGCTTGGCCTTTGGTGCTGTTCTCTGTGACCGCGTTCTGGGTATATTATTTCTGGTGTAAAAAAGATGGTTATAGTACTATTTATAAAAAGCCATGAGATCTTTCTGCGATTTCCAATTGTCACTTCTTATGACACCCATGTGAGGAAATGGGGCTGTAGATTCCTTTGCACTGCAAGCCTAAGTCGCCATTAAAGCAAACTTAAGTTGGCATCTGATCTAAAAATTTTTACGTTGGACTTTGAACTAGCTAACGTACATTTACTTTTATATACAACATGTAACGTAATTAACCACACTCAGACACCCCAATTAGTTAAGGTTATAATCATAATACATATACTGAATTTTTAGTTAAACATGTTTATGCATTGATTATTTATTAAATTAGTTATACTGATTCGGGAAAATTAGTTATACTGATTCTGGAACTGTTGTGGTCACAGTACAAATCCACGAACGTAAAGACTTTAATTGGCTTGAAATAAGGTTCATTTTTCTTTATTTTGTATTGAATGACGGAATTTATATTAATACAAATAAAACTGCACTCTTAAAAGTCTTATTGCCTTGAGTTACGGTCCATTTCAGTTTGTTTTGACTGTACAGGTTTAGCGTGACTCTAATTTACGTAGTTTTAATTATTATTGGGATAAAAATTACCTATATTAAAAATGACAGAAATCGATTGAGAATACGATTCTGAACAAACTACTTTCAGAATGTGCGTTAATTATATTGCATGTTGTATATTTGAGGTGAAAACTTTTCTTGACGCGTTGAACGATTTTTGGTAGGGTAAAAAGCTATGAGACCTTGACATGCGTTTGCGCGCAATACTTCACGAGCATGTCGCGCAATGCCATTGTGTATAACGTATATCATTGAGATTTCTCTGTAAGTAAACAGTCATAAGACTGCTTTTTTTGTCTGTATCGCGTCTAAGGTGCTATATTAAAAATATTCTGCTGAGACTGGTGACCTACATTCTCACAGTTTCAGTATTCATCATTTCAGCCGATTTAAAGTTCGTTGCTGAACTTACCCGTAAACTACTTCATAGGGAAATTGTTTGCCATGGTTGCTATACGTGGCAGACTGATTGGCAACTGTAGCTTTTTAATATTTCGAGTTATTAGAAAAATCCTACCACTCATCCCCTGTTCCATTTCCCTCTGTTGTATGGTACGACACCCACGGGACAATACGTGGTGGTGGATTCTGTTACGTTGCCACTACACAGGGTGGGTACAGTAATATATTTTTATTTTCAGGCTACAATCCAATACATTACTGAAGCAACTAGCGGAACTTGTTTACGTGAATCTTTACGGGATCAACAAAAAGGGCGGCGATGAAAGTCCTACACCTCTCCCCCCCGGCCGCGCCTTCGCTGCTACCTATACCTGATGGTAAGTCGTACAAACACTGATTGTTAGCTAGGTTTAGATTTAAGTCTTATTTCACAGGAGAGGCTTATTCATTCTTGAACTAATTGCATATATTATTTGTTTATATATTCCACAGAATTAGTAATAATAAGATAATAGAAATGAATTAGCGCTCGATTACTTCCAAAACCGATGTTGCCACTTCTTCCCGTATTATAAACATCGCAATGCACAATGATATCTAATGTTTCACATTACATTGCTCGGCGAGTTTGTCAACGTCGCGTATTACGGTAGAACAAAAGTGGCAATGGTAATTGTAAATACGATAAGTAATAAATGAAAGTTTACAAAGGTAAATATCATAGTAAAGTATTCATCTAGATGTAAATTAGTTAAGACAATGATAATTAGTAAATATGATTATTTAGTTACCGATGAAATGTTATGCCTTTATTGCCCCATTTACATTCAGCCCTGTTGGGCAGGGAAGAGCAGGGCAGTGAGCAGGGCAGTCGGGAGCCCCCGCCCCACCAGCAGGGCAGTGAGCAGGGCAGTGAGCAGCAGTGAGCAGGGCAGCGGGCAGGGCAGTATGTAAACAGGCTACTCGCGCTGACACTGCCGCTGCCGCTGCCACTGCCCGACGATTGCTCAAATGTCGGTTTTTCGTGCGGAAGTCAAAGGACGGGCAGCGCGAGCGGCAGTGAGTGTTCACATTCAACTCCATCGCTCACTTCGCGCCAAGCGCCTGGATGAACGGACGTGCGTGGCGTCTTGTTATTAAATAAGTACGATCTACCAAAATGCCTTTCGAGTGGAATAATGAAAATACAATAAAGTTTTTAGAACTGCTGGAATCAGAAAAAACTATATGGGATTTCAACGATAAAAACCACAATTCATCATCTACGAATACGAATTTTCTTTTTGAGATAAAATAATACCTATGTACATAATTTATTATAAATTCGTCAAATTTATTATGTTAATATAAAATTTAGTTTAAAGATTAATGAACATTGACATTTTATTTCTAAAAACGATTAGTAACTCATATTGATTATTTATTTATTAAAATGTAAAATAAGTTAAATGGTAATATTTGCGTAATAGTCTGAGATTTTTAAATTATAATTTTATTGTAATTAAAATTATGAATTAATTTATACTGTAGTGTAATTATTAAAATAATAATAGCTAAACTAATCTCATATAATATTTAATATTATTTATGTAAGAATAATGTAATAATTCAATTAATAATTTATGAACCATTTACTGTATAAGAATTCAAATAGATTGGATCTGTATAAGTATTTAATTGTACATAATAAGCAATGCAATAATTTTAAAATGTAACATTGGGTTTGTGTAATTAGCTGTATTTCATATCATTTTTGTATGCCAATTATGGCAAAACATGTTAGTTCTATTTCAATTTTCTATCTATCTTCTTTTGAACTTGATATCTTTTTAAATTATTAACATAATTTTGTATTGCAAGAAGACACAGCGCGGACGCTGTAATTATTTCGACGTCTGCCATAGTCGAAAGCCGAAAGTGATGTGAGTGGTAGGGCAGAGTGTATTTAGCGAAGTATTGCCGGCAGCGCGAGGAGCAGTGGCAGGGGCTGAATGTAAATGAGGCTTATTTGTTGAATTACACGTCCTTAATAAGTTTTTACAACTGATTATGCTATAGTTCACTGGACAAGGTCACGCGTCTATGCGACTTCTATTGTCTTATTATTACGATTTCTGTGATATATTCTATGTTCAACATGGTTTCGTATGTAATGGAATAAAGAATAAAATAATTAGTAATTTAACGTCTACGGTGTCGTCCTAATTTGCAACGATCGTACGAGCAAACGATGCGCTTTCGTCGCACGACGGGATTAAACACACACATTCCTTTAGAGTGTCCTAATTGAAACTTGCAAGTTGTCGCGCGAACTTAAGAAATGCTTAATAACTATCGTACGATGGGTTTAATCGAAATCATGCAATCAAAGCTACAATTTTTTTTTAGTGTAACGCAAAGGCACCGGTGAGGCGAGTTAGAGACGAGTAGAGACCTAAGACAGAAAATAAACTGTTATGGAGTGTAGAGGTAAGGAGTGTAGACTCCGTATAAAGAAGTGCCCGTAGGAAAGCGCTAAATAAGGGTGGCGCCACTGTAGCCACAGTCTAAATTTTAAAGAACTTTTTATAATTTTTTATTGCACAGACTTTCACCATAATTCTTTTTACAATAATTATTTTATTGATTTCAAAATTCTTATCTTCAAAATCACTCTCAACGTATTTTACGGCGATTTATCATACCCCGTAGCTGCTCCAGCGCTGTAGTGGAGAGTTTTTGAACTGTTATTTACTGTTTACAGACGGACACTTTTTCAACTATTCTCCTATGGGAGTTGGTACTCCTTACTTCTACACTCCATATGTAGATGTTTACTGTGCATCTCAGTAAACATCCATTGTTGAAATGGCGCCATTGCAGTGACAGCACGGCGATATCGCGTCAGCGCGCGAGCTATTAGGAAACCTATTGAACCATCGCACGATCTTTTTCATCGACCTCATCACATCGATAGCCAATTAGGACAACGAATTAGACCACATTTAGCCAAATAACTATAGGTTTAGATGGGAAATTCTGAAAGCAGTTTCCGGAGGCTAGCTCATCTCCCACACCATCACAAACACAATTTCCTATTAATCGCCTTTTCCGTTAAACTAGACAAGTAACACAGTTCCGTTATAGCCTATTAATGTCCACTACTAAACATAGGTTTTCCCCATAGATTGTTTCATAGAGGTGGATATTTGCCGTTTATTTTTATTTTTAGCCATTATTGGGAAGACGCTGCTGGCCATGTCCTGATTTGTTTCCCTCTCTGACCTCGTACGACACCCACGAGATGATATGGAGTAGTGGTTATTCTTACACTGCCTCTACACGGCCGTAACACAATGTAACACAACGTAACATAATGTAACACAATGTAACACAGTGAGGGGTAATAATCTTCCACTCACCAGATGTCGCTAGTTCAGACTGTGAAGTTATTTGTCATTATAATTGTGAAGTTGCGTCTCAAATAAAAATTCATCGGTTTCAAGATTCATCGGTCAAAAAACACCTCAGTGATTCGCTCTATAAATTGTTTTGCACTGCAATTAGAATTCTTTTTTAATTCTTCTACTTTCAGGAATATTCGTGGTTTGTTTTTTCCTTTTTTCATATTTTGAATACAAATTAACTAATATTTCAATATTTCAATGGCTGCGTTTGGCAGAAAAAAGCGCTAGGAAGCGCATGTAAGCAAAATGGCGAAACTATACAGTTTTCGGCCAGAACACGTTTGCTATAACATCAGTAGCGCCGACACAATCCGCCATTTTGCTTATTTATTTTGTTTGTTTTGAGGTAGAGTTTTATGTTATAAGTTCTTTTGTGCAATTAGTTTCAAGTAATATAATAACATGAATAAATATATTATACATGTTATTAAAAATTCATGATTGGTAAGTTTTTAATATGAATACTTTACAAACATATATTTAAAATAGGTTAGGTTCCCCGGTTAAAACTAACTTCGTGTCCTAGAGGAAAATAGCTACTTACGATTTGACAGCGCTGACAGCTACCGCTTACGATCGCCATTTTGCGTACAACCGCTTCCTAGCTCTTTTTCTGCCAAACGCAGCCAATAAGAAACATAATTCATAACACTTCTAACAATTTAACTTCCTCGCCATAAGATCTTTGAAATATTACACCTCATTTCATAGTGGCGCCGCTATGGTCGCGGAAAAAGTATAATATATTGTTATTTTTCATTAAACGTAACAAATTTACACGTTAGTAAATTTATTTATAGTGTTGGTAACACGAGCACACAGTCAACCTGATTGTTAGTGTACACCATGGCCCCTAGACATCTATATCTACCCTCGATTGTGAGTCAAAATAGTTGCGCTGTCAATCTTAAAGACCGAGATGGAATGCCTCGTTTCCAGTAGAAAGGGTCTCTCGTTCTATACACTCACCATACGAAAAACAGCAGAAATAAGCTGCTATTCTGGAACGTGGTCTCACTCTTGCTTTAACAATATATAGCTGCAGCGTGGTCCTACCACGAATGCAAGAGAAATTATACTGTGGTTTTTTTTTCTTACCATAAGCCAGAGCTTGACATCAATATCACTTGGTAGCAAGTGGTGATGTAGTCATGGAGATTAAATGGCACTGTCTTAGCGTAAAAAAAGCGTATTCACTCTTGTCTTTAAGAACGCCCATCTGTATTGGAAGATGGTCTGTATGGCTTTCCATCAGATTAATTATGGAATCTGATGGAAAGCCATACAGACTACCGGGCACATGTTAAGAACACATTGGGACCAATACAATGCTTCACAATACAGAATAAATTCCTTGTCTGGACCTTAAGAAAATTTTGTTGTTGACAGGTTTAGACGCGATGCCGGACTATCCAGCCTTCATTGACCTGTCCCACATCGTATGGATCAACAGTCACCTGCCGCAGAAGTACCAGCACAAGTGGCGTTTTCTTTTCTCCTCGCATATCCACGGTGAATCTTTCTCGACTATGGCTGGTGAGTTTACTTATGATATTTATCATTTTCATTATCAATCTTCTTCTCCATCAAAGTCCACTGCTAGACAAGGTCATCCCTCGCCGAATCGCCACGCTTGGTAAGTGGATTGGCGATCATAAATCCAGACGTCTCACATCTTTGCCGCTGCGTCCCATTGCCGGTCTGGGTGTTTTACGTCAGGCATAAACAAGATGGTTACACCGCCATCTGTCGGAAGCCATAAGATTTTTATGGAATTTCTTATAGTCGCCTCCTATGATAATAATAATAATGTCCTCCATACCGAAATTTCGGTCACGGCGGCCAGCATCAACGGAGACTAGCCATTGGCGCAGGACAGGATTATAGTGTCCAAGTGTATACGCAAGCACTGGTGCACTCTCTATTCCCTCACTCATAATCCGATGTAACGACGGTAAACCGACACGACCGGAGAGAGATCAGGCGCAGGTCCAACGGCTTTACGTGCTTTCCCAGGCACGCGGGTGAGACACCGCCAACTTCCTGACTCCGGGCAGCTTGAATACTGAGAATTTCTTGACGGAAAAACTCAGTAATTGTTTTTTTGGCCCGATCTGGATTTGAAAGGACCTCATGATCAGCAGTCGCACTACTACAACCACTAGACCAACGACGCAGTCCTTCTACGATAGCCACTGATGAAATGGCGTGGTGAATTCTCTTACGCTGCTGGCATATGGCAATCCAATAATTTTTTTTTAATTCATCACAGTCTATCAAGGTGCACTGCTAAATGTAGGCTTCCTCATAGAATGCCTTACATTAAGAAATTCGTCATAGTTGGCGCGTTTGGCAAACGGGTTGGAAACTGGACTTTTTTGTTGTTATTAGAAGACACTGACTGCCTATCTCTTGGTTTGTTTACCCGTCGCCTCCGACACCAAGTAAATGATATGGGGTAGTGGATATTTTTTCATCGCCACTACATGGTTACCAGTATAACCATTCGTACCGATTTACACTTCGACAAGTACAGTAGCGAGTTAACTTGCGAATCTGGCGAGTTAAGTTTGAACCTCGTTTGAACGGAATAGCCGGCCGAGCTATTTTTCGGCGAGTTAAGTGCGAAGTGCTGCCCTCCCGCGCGTCTCCCGCCACCCGCCGCTCGTGTAAACGAGTGAGTTTAGTTCAGTGCATAAGTCGACAGGATGCAACATTTGCGCGCCAAAACGTACAATTGTACTTTTATTATTAAACTCGCCACACAGTTTACTGTTTATTGAATATTTATACGTTTTATATTGAGTTTTAATAATAAAATGGACGGAAGATATCACATATAAATTTGTACAGGAGTATTTAGAACACGAATGTTTAAATAATAGTTGTAAAATTGAACCTGCTTGAGATGGTGCACTCATGAAAATTCTTAAAAACTTCTTTAACAACAACCATTAATACTTCTTTGACTGGATCTATTAATTCTTGACGTAATCCTAGAACCATCTTCAACGAAAATCAGAAAAATTCTGTAGTCTTGAAACGTCATACTCCAACGAACTCTTTGAACTAATGTCCTTAACTAAACTCGCCACGAAGACGTTGTTTGAACGCTACTGCCCACTTAACCGTTTACTGTCAGCTGCCCTGTAACTAAACTCGCTACTGTACTTGTAGAAGTATAAATCAGTCTTTATATCAAGTGTAAAATTAAGAAAAAGTCGCTTAGAAGCGTCAAAGAAAGCGTCTTTTATCGTTAATGCGGTTGTTAAGTGAGGTAATTTCGGAAAATCCTGTCTACTACGGGAGAGACCGAAGTGCACTACTGTGTACTGTCCACAGGCTAGGGAGGTGGGAAGATTTTAGTTTTAAAATAATTTATTTCTCATAAGAGACAGGGATTCGCTTGCAATGAGATACCTATAAAAATTACATATAGAAATTCAGACTTATTACCTCTGGTGCTTAATTATAATTTATGACTTAATCGTTTATGAAGAGAGTAATGTACAAACTTATTTTTTTAAATTTACTTTTAAACATAATATTAACGTTGTCTTTAATGTGATTTGGCAAGTTATTGTATAGTTGCACTCCTTATAAAATTGTTTCTCTTCTATAATTAGTTCGTTTATTAGCAAATTCCAGTTTGAGTTTGTTTGTTTGATTGTGCGTATTTGTATTTTTAACAGACTTCAAAAAAGGAGAATGTACTCAATTCGACTATATGTTCTTTTTTTTTCTACGTGACCTCAAAACTTTTTTCTGCGTGAACAGATTTTGATCGTTATTTTTTTTTATTTGAAAGCTGGTGCTTCTCATGTGGTCCCATATAAATTTGACCTGAAGTTTTTGAGTTATCTTTAATAATACGTATTTAATTGACTTCAACTAGATTGGTGATATTCTCGTTTTATTCATATTGAAATTGGTTGTAATTTTTTTTAATTTAAAGACTTACTTTTATCTGTTTTTTGAAGTGGAATATGTGTAATGCTGAGTTATATTTAAAAAGAGACGGGCGAAAGTTCATAGAAAGATGGGCCTGATGTTACAGCAACCATTACTGTATTATTTTATTTATATATCAATACCATTTTAAAAAAACTAAAATGTTTAAGAGTGCTTACGCTATGCATACAATGTTATTCTCACACCAAGCTCTCACATTACACTTTAAGAAAATAATTATTAGACTTTATTGTAAACTAGACTTCACCATAATTTTATGTATTGTAGGACATTCACAAGTAGAAGATTCAGACGCCGCCGTCCATCTAAATTGTAGAAGTTTGAAATAATTATAAAAAAGTAGAAGGAGGATGAATTCAAAACATTTTCTCTTTTATTGATTTATTAATCGTCCACTTCATCATAAACAAATAAAATATAGTCTAAAAACGGTGCAGGCAGTATTAAATTCTCTTGACGCCTTACCCAGCTTAGGTACCATATCATGGACATTACATGACAACAGCAACCTACAGTTCTTTTTCCTACCAAAGAATTGAAATAATACTGTTTGATGATCTCTCTAGCATTGAGAGGACTGTCAACTAAAATATATGTAAAATATGTTTTTGAGCTTAAGTATATGTCTCGATTTTATCGACCTCTCAATACCCAGCTAGAATGGTTGGATAGTACCATTCTAGGTGGCTATTAAGAGGTCGAATAAAAACAATTCTCTTAGTAGGTTGCTGTCCGTTTCTAGACACACTTCTATTTCTTATCTCCCATCTTGTATGTGTTCTCAATAATGGGACCTAGCCCACTTAATTTGATAAATACCTAAAGATATTTTTATTAAATTACTGTGTATGAGCTGGGGAAAATCATTTATCATTTTGCACAAGTATTCTTGTAAAATCAGAAAAGAAACCGTCAGAATCCTTTATACGTAGCCAGAGTCGTTAAAGATGGGAATATTATTACAGCACAGAAAAACTACAGAAAATATTCACTACCACTGCAAGCTCAGAGCCAAACAAAGGTTCCCTATATAAAAAAGAACTCTGTGACCAAAAGTAACAAATGATTTGAGTGACGTTTTTAGTTTTTAAACTAACGTTGACATTTCCGCTTTGTGGCCTGTATAAAACATTGATAATCGATTGTGAAATCGATTTATTAATTTATTCAGTCAATTTATTTTTACGACTATTTTAAAACGTTAAGGTGTCACGAGGGAACCATTGTTTAAATAAGAAGTTTCTTAAACTTACCTAAAGAAGAAAAGACTGAATCACTTTTTATTGTCTTTTTCTATTTTTGTATTAAAATCGATTAACTAACCTATTTCATCTGGCAGCATTGTTTAAAAATAAAAATAACGGAAGTCAGTATTATTCCTATTAAATATTTGATTTCTTTTGCCATGATAAAACTGCTTAAGATTTCATTATTAACTACAAAAAAACTATAAAAAAATATTGATAAATATTTCACTTGTGTAACGTTAGGCCCAAATTCGCCCGTCTCCTTTTAGTTTTTTAAGTATAATTGTCGCGTTGGAGTAAGGTAATGATAGTGGAATAAAACTTTGTCTTATTTTGAGTTCTTTGTAAGCTGTTGAGATTTGTTTTGGCTACCGATCCCAATACTTTAATTAAATATTCTAGATGGAATTTTACTGAAGAATGTATTGTAGTGCGTACAGAATTTGGAATGAAGTTTGACACTCTTTAGAACACTATTAAAAATAGTAAATTTAAATTATAGTAATAAGAATGTCCTTAAGTCGAATCACGGCGCCTGGTCTCAACGGAGACTAGCCATTTGTGCAGGACGGGATTATAGTGCCCGAGTGTATGCGTAAGCACAGGTGCACTCTACTTCTTCACTCTTATAGTCCAATAGGATGGCAACCCGACACGACCGGAGAGTGATCAAGCGCAGGACCAACTTCTGGGCGTGCTTTCCGAGGCGCAGGGGTGGGTACTGCCAACTTTGTGACCCCAGGCTGCTACTGAGAATTTGATGACAAAAAAGCCAATAACTGATTTTGGCCCGACTCGGAATTTACCCTGGGTTGGGAGAAAGTAGTTGCGCTTAGTTACCAGTGGAGGCAGTCAAATTTTAATATCAATATGTATTTATTTAAGTTTGTTTCAACTAACAACGTAAGTTTATTCTAACTTGTACTAATGATTTCTTATATTTATGCGAACACTACACGTTCATTAAAACTACTTTTATGGATTTTATCGCGTTTAATTTTAAATGATTTTTAATTCCAGACGTTTCGGTTGCTTTCCAGCACCCATGGTCACGGGAGACTGAGGTGACTGACGTCTCGATGTCAATATTAACCCGGAGTACCTTCAGCTTTATTATTTATGGTCTGATCTACGCAGAATGCTTACTACCGTATATCGGAACCCCGTGACCACGGGTGCTGGAAAGCACCCGAAATGTCGGGAATTAAAAATCCGTAAAAGTAGTTTTAACTTAAACTAACTGTAACTTGATACAGAATTGTGATTTGTGTCTTTATTTTATTACAGGTCGAATCATTGACCAGGGTCCTTCGATCCTCATAATCGAAGACACCAACGGCTATATCTTCGGTGGGTTCGCGGCCGTCGCGTGGTCGATGGGGCCCAACTTCACCGGCACCGACGAGTCGTTTCTGTTCGCCGCCGCCCCCAGGATGCGAATGTACCCCGCCACCAATTACAACGACCACTATCAATACATTAATCATCACACTAAAACATTGCCTAATGGATTGGTGAGTAGATGTTCAAATTACAACCTAAATTTGTCACATTGCTGTGAAAACGCCATCTCTCAATTCTGAGGGAATATGGAACAATTACTCCACCGTGTGTTGCCAGACTCAACATATAACATAACATTCTACGTGGTAGAGTTACGCTGGAGCTATTATGGTTGTAGCACGAATGGATTGGCTCGACCGGGGAAGGACCACGCTCTCACAGAATACCAGCGTCAAATAGCAGCTTGATGTTGCTGTGTTTAGTATGGTGAGTGTAGAGAACCGGGAACCCGTTTTACTGGAATCGACGTATTCCATCTTTGTCCTCATGGGTGACAACGCATCTGCATTTTGATTCTTAATTCTTCAGAATAAAAAAAAAAACAGGGGAAAAAAAGAACAAAAAATAAAAAAATCCCCGGTTAAATGTAGATGTCTATGGGTCACAGCATCCACTTACCATCAGGTGGACTGTGTGCTCGTTTGTCACCCTTATCCTATAAAAAGAACATGACATAAACACTCACGCCTGTCACCCAGAGGGGTAGGCAGATACTACGGACTTCCATTTGGCACGATCTTGGCACACCTCTCTCGCCTTACTTTACTTCCATATACCTACGCATACACACTCGTCGGTTAAGGATACTCCTAATGTAACCCATTTTCAAAATATCGCCAATTTGGTCGATAAACCCTCATCTAGGGCGTCCCTTCTCATCTCTGCCGTTCACATCTGCCATATAAATTTGCTTTGTCACTCTTTCCTTATTCATTCTTTCTACATGACCAAACCAGCGAAGCATTCCTTTCTTAATCCTGGTCACAACATCATCTTGCATACAACAATCTTCTATCACACAATTTCTCATCCTGTCATTCAAATTCAACATATCTTTAAAATATTTTTATTCCTCAGACATGCGAGTTTCCTCACGATGTTTTGATTTACCCCAGGTAGTTGCAATAAATCAGCACTTAAAATTGAACCGTGTTGAGCAGAAATGTTTCAAACCCACAAAACCATAGTTATCCAGATTTGAAAAAAAAATGCATATTTCTTGTGGCAGTAGTTTTATATTTTTCGTAAAGCTGTCATTATAGATGGAGAATTGGGTTAAAAAGGGCCGGTGGGCGGATGTAGTATGCGAGCGTCTGTGTGCAAAATATAGCAAAGAGATAGGTTTTTATGGTACAATTACAATTATAGTACGTGAGGGTAATATGGTCATTCGATTGATATGGTCACTTTCTTATTACGCATAGACTAAAGCCTTGTTAGTATAGATGGCTCTGAGATGCGATAGCTCTTCATCAGTCAATCGAATAATAAAGGGTCAAAAGGGCGCTGCTTTATCGGCGCCATTTTGACAGTTGACAGTTTAGTTTAGTAGTTAGTTTTTAAGTTGATTTTTCAAAGTGTTCCTAATTATTGCCTAAACTTGTTTGCTGTTATTTTCTTAATATATTAGTTATAGTATACGACTTTGTGTTTTTGTCTCTGTCATCAGCGTAGTTTTGGTTTTATAGGGCAGCAAAGTTTAAGGTGGTCATATTACCCTCACGTATATAATAGTAATTGTACAGTATATATATTATATATATACACATATATATGTTATTCCTATATAAATATAACAATAATACTATAATAGAAAAAAACGTCCCCCTCTCTTCCAGTAGTTCGTTTAATTTCGGCGTTTGCTAGAAACCTTTGGCTTTGGCTTCGAAGGTGATTTTTTGCCTGAAGGTGACAAAACTTGCGGCCGAAGCTTCGGTCTGACACTACTTACGACTAATGATTGTAATGTTGGTAGCTAATGGGCGGGCAGTTCAACTTCGGCGGTATCTGGGTGAACGCGGACCCATTCGGCGAGGGTTCCTCTGCGGAGTCGTGCAGCACGTACCGCGGCTACCGCCGCCTCAGCAAGGAGCCCACCTTCCGCATCCGCAGCCTCGAGCTCTGGGGCGTCGGGGACAAACCACTCACCGAGAAGGAAAAGGTAAGGCAAGGGACACACACACACAGGAAACACAGATAGAAATAGAAACTTTGGAATTAACAATTAACAACAAAAAAAGTAAACTAGAATTACATGCTCTTCTCTCCCTCATTTCCACCATCAGACGATCAGGCGGTCGGCGGGTCTTCACCATTTTGTTCTCGATATTTTACGCATTAACACCAAAATGGCTTGCTTGAAATGCGTACAGTAAGGGAGTGGAATAATTGCGTAAAAGAACATATAGCTGACTTGAAGCACCAGCGTTCCGGGAAGTCTACAGTTTGTGATCATATCCTAGACGGCCCCCACCATTACATCAGATTTGATAGACCACAAATGCTCGTGATAGAACATCGATTCGTACCAAAGATGATACGTGAGGCTATTAAATTAAAAAAAAAACATCGTAATTTCAATAGAGAAGGAGGCTGGGTACTACCACCTGCTTAGGATCCTGTAATTAATAAAATTAAAATCAAACCCAAGCATACCACTGTAGACTTCAAGACAGAGTAAGTTCGTTCTGCGTAGATCGGACCATAAATAATAGTTAAAAAGCTGAAGGTACTCCGGGTCAGTCACCTCAGTCCCCCGTGAACGTGTGTTGTGTATTGAAATTAGGATGTTTTTTAATTTCAATACATGTTCACAGACAGTCCGTGAACATGTTCAAGATCGTGCCCACCATTACATCAGATTTGATAAACCACAAATCCTCGCAAAAGAACACCGATTCCTACCAAGGATGATACGCGAGGCTATTGGAATTAAAAAACATCCTAATTTCAACAGAGAAAGATGGTTGGGTGCTGCCATCTGCTTGGGATCCTATAATTAACAAAATTAAACCCAAACCCAAGCATACCACAGCAAGACTTCAAGATACTGTAAGTTGGTTTAGCGTAAATCGGACCAAAAATTAATATTCAAAAACTGAAGGTAGCCGGGCTAACAATGACATTGGGACGTCAAACACCTCAGTCCCCCCCGTGACCATGGTTGCTGTAAAGCACCCGAAACGTCGGGAATTAAAAATAAGTAAAATCAGTTAAATTATGGCGATAGAATCAGTAAATTTAGTTTTATTCAATAAAAGCTACTCTCAAACTGGGCGTCAATGTTAAGAGTGCCACTATATTCTTCATAGATTTGGTATTTATTAGTGATTTAAACAAGTACTAACATTAAACAGGCAAAATACTCAAAAGTATAAAATGGCAAAGTTAACCTCACTTTGTGGCAACTTTGCCATCGGGGTTTATAATGAAATTAGTATATATATATATATATTTCATCCTCACTATACCATTTACTTAGATGGGTAGTTAACCTAACTAACCCATCATATAAAAACTAGGCTAGAAGATTTTTTTAGAGGATAGGGTGACAACAGCACACGTCACTGTTGGTAAGGTTGCTGTGCCTAGACTCTACATCTATCCTCATTACTATATATATATAAAAAAAAAAATATATATATATATATATATATATATATATATATATATATATATATATATATATATATAAATGAATCTCATAAATTACAGCAATTAATATATACGTAACATTAAATAAAAACAATAATTAAAATTATAATATTTACAATTAATACTAATTATACACAGTATAAAAAAGAAACGTGGATACAGTTCCTTTAGGCACTTCACTGCCCGTGGACCCCACGGACCGATAGTCTCTACAGCAAATGGCACAAATATGTAGTCATTTCTCAAAGACACATATTTGCGCCATTTACTAAATTCGGCTGCCTCTGATGCCGCCCCGGCTCTAAAAGAGGTACCCTTGAGATGAGAGGCCGCCAAAGTGTCAACGCAAGTAGCATCCCACACTAGGGCTTTACCTCTCTCCCAAGGGACCAAAGTCATACCGTCGGGTCTCCTGCTATCGTCTCTAAATCCTCTAAAATGGAGCTCCTGCTATCGGCTCTAAAACCGAGGGGATATTTATGGAGACAAGAGCCTTTCGGATGATTTCGTTCAAAGAACCGTGACGGGAAAAGCTACCTGCACGTTTCTTGCATGAAAGTCCGTGGAGCCCAAACTCATCGACGCTGCTACCAGAGGGGCACTGGTGAGGTTGACAAATTACCATTCCAAGCCGGATTCCTACGGCGATGCGTAAACTCTCCCCATCAAGCAAAGTGCCGAGATTACTTGATGGTAGAGCGTGTAACCAGTGGCTAGATTCCTTAGTAGAAACAGCTAGAAGGCGAGCCTGATCTTGTTGACTGGGTAAATTTTTAAATAAAATTTTCTGGACACTCCGTACCAACGGAATATCCCACTGTTTTTGTTGGTTAACTTCCAGTGGAACATTTTCGCCGGGACAGAGCGTTAGCCATGTTTGCCTTACCTCCGCAGCAAAACACAGGTCTAATTTATTTTTTAAAATTGTGTTACATAAATCATTGACACTGTACGGAAGCAAGGAAAGCAGGCAAGTTTAAAGTAGCCCAAAATCTACCGATTCCTCCAGTCCCTTCTATATTTAACACAAACTGTCCCTATACCTTAATTTCCCGATCCTGTCTCCTTAATCCCAGGTGTCGGATCACGAGGAATTCTTCGATAAACGTGTATCGGATTACGAGTTCATACAGCTCGTAAGCAAACCCCAGCCCAGCCAAGGATTTACAGAATGACCTCGCTGATGGATGTCAGGTTACGTATTCACGAACTTGTTTCTAAGTAAACTTACCTATATTTTGAAAATTTTTCTTAAAGCTATTTTTCCGTCTGCTGCACGAATAGGTCGGCTCTACCGGGAAAGTACCACGCTCTCACAGAATACCAGTGTGAAATAACGGATTACTGCTGCAGTGTTTCGTTTTGTGGGTGTATAGACGAGATACTGATTATTTTTTTTTTAGAAAAATATTAGTAATCCTATTAATTAACATTACTAATATTCCTTTTAATCCCTCCTGGTAAGCTGAGAATGCTTGTGTTAGGAGTGGTTCACGACAGTAGTCGAATGGTGGATTCGAACCCACGACCTTTTGAGTTTGCGGTCCGCGCCCTGCCATTAGGCTATTGTCGCTTTTAGCTTTAACTGAAACATACTCAGAGGTGACAACTCATCTGTAGCTTTGTTTGTTTGAAGTTGGCTGTAGCTTTCCATGGACTGCAGTCGCTACTGGTAACTGTACGTTCGATTTTCATTTTAGTTTAAAAAAATCAAACTAGGGTTCAGATTTTGTGATTTTCTTTTTTGCACAGTGTCTTATAAGCAAGGTTGTGCCTTAACGCCGTGTGCTGGTAGCGTCAGAGAATACATCCGTGTTGAAATATGTAAGTCAGGGAAACTCCAAAACTACCTTATGGCTACAGATAGATGGCGATATGACTATCTCGTTTCGACCAGATGTAAAATATACAGATCGTTTACGGGGAATAGCGGCAAAGACTTTTATGTGGTAGAGCCATGCTGCAGCTATATTATGGTTGCAGCATGAATGGGTCGGCTCGACCGGGGTAGGCCCACGCTCTCACAGAATACCAGCGTAAAATAGCAGCTTAATGATGCTGTGTTGCGTATGGTGAGTGTAGAAAACCGGAGAGTCTTTTTATTGGAAACGAGGCATTCCATCTCAGTCCTCAGGGGGGACAACGCATCTGCATTTTGATCCTTGATTGGAGATAAATGTAGATGTTTATAGGCTACAGCATCCACTTACCATAATGTGGACTGTGTGCTCGTTTGTCAACCTTATCCTATAAAAAAAGATCTGTGGTCGCCAGTGTAATCCACCAAGGGTGGCGATTAATGTTGATCCTTCTACACGGGAGTGGCCCAGCTTTTGACATTTACGACCTGGTGAGGTGGAAAAGAAGCTTTATTCTTTCACTAATTCACACATCTCGGCATTGACACGTAACAAGTTTTTATTTGGACCAATTAAAGTTCTCGTCAATATCAGCATGAATCATTCAAAGATATCCCGATACCGCCCCCCCCCCCTCTCGTTCCGATTTCCTTTCTCCTTCTTGCTATCCATTTTAATATATACGAAGTGTACGTTAAACCATTTATATTCCAATTATTATTATTGCCGACGTAAATAATAATTAGAAAGTGTTGTGCAGAAATTATCCAACCCACAAACTGGCCAAAATAATGATTTAGAGTTTAAAGAAATTTATTTTCAAAAAGACAAACAATGCCACTTACATGAAAATAATAATTACATTTTAGTATACTTATTCTAAAGGTCGCCGAACACTCAGTCAGTAGCTTCATAGCCTCAATTTAATGGTGAAAAATTTTCAATTACGTATTGTGATAGCTGAGACTTAAAACTACTAAATGAGCTTACATTTTTTATATTACAAGGCAATTTATTATAGATCTGTGCTCCTTCAAAGGTAATGCTTTTTTTTTTGCGTAGTTTGTTCGTACCTTTGGTAGTACATGTAAGCTAGGTCGTCGAACGCTGCGTTTACAAATTTGTGATTTTTTTACAAAAGAACAGTTAGTATGCATGGTTTTATCTAGTATTTTCTTCTATTCTAATTCTAATTATAATGCAAGTATTATATATATGTAGTTGTTGAACGTTCGTAAGTTTTTTCTCTTTGAAAATTTTTGAAGTTGCTGTTAAATAGGGATAGTGAAAAAGTATTTTTATGATTTTATTTTGTATTCTTTGAAGTTCCTGTATCTTAGTTTTAGCAGCATTACCCCAAATTTCTATAAGATAAAGTAAATGCGATTTAACTAATGAGTTATAAATAGTGTAACGCATTTTTTTAGGTAGACAATAGGAAATATTGTGAAGTGATCCAGTAAGTGCCGAAAGTTTACTTTTAATGTGATCTATTTGCCTATTCCATGTTAAGTAATTGTCCATTCTCAAGCCTAGATATTTTTCGCAGGTTTTTTGTTCTAAGCGGATGTTATCAATTGTCAGTGGGTCATGTAATGGTATAGTTTTGTTCTTTGCTTTAAAAATTACGTAACATGTTTTAGAAGTGTTTACCGTTAGCAAGTTATATCAAAACCACTCAGACAATTGTTCTAGATCTTCTTGCGCTTGCAAGATGATATCATGTATTTTAGATCTGAAATAAAATAGACATGTATCGTCAGCATACAAAGTTAGATGACCATGTAACCCTAGCTCTGCGATTTGGTTAATATAGACTAGAAATAGGAGTGGCCCAAGTATAGATCCCTGCGGCACACCATGCGTGATAGGTAAGGCGCTACTTTGAAAATTATCCAGCTTCACTACTTGCGATCTATTTGATAGGTATGTTTTAAATATTTTAAGAGCACTACCTTTGATTCCGATCTTTCAATTTTTTAATAGCAATTTGTGACTTATAGTATCAAAGGCTTTTTTAAATCGGTAAATACACCTAAAGCCACTTGCCGTTTATCTATACTATCTTTTATTTTCGTTGTTAGATCGATTGTTGCGGTAGTGGTGCTACTTTTAGTGGCTCTCTTTAATAGTTTGTTTTAAATAACAATCGTAATTCCATAATTTTCAATTATATCTTTAAAATGGTATCTACAACTAACTAACTTGATATAACAGAGCACAAGAAAGACTTTCGAATCCTGCACAACGCGGTCCACGTCGCATAAAAATGAAGGAACTAAATCTTAGTCCAATTCTACTTGCTAACTAAATGTCTAGATTTAATTAATTATGTTACGTTGTGTAGGAGGAACGCGACGTGAGCGTGCTGGATACGAACCCGGAGGCAAAGGCCATCCTAGAGCTGGCGGGACGCACGCGACACAGCGAGGGCATCCGGGAACCGCCACCTTTATAATGACACTAAGGTAAACGAAGGTTACGTAACATTCTCCTGGCTGAATTCGATAGCCTATTAATTTAGTATATAAAACAGCGACTGCCTCGTTGCTCTTGTTATTAACGCAATTGCTGATCATGAGATTCGAATCCCAGGTCGGGCCAAAAACTTATTGGGTTTTTCTGTCAAGAAATTCTCAGCAGTCCAGAGTCAGGAAATCGGTGGTGTTTAACCCCCGTGCCTCGGAAATCACGTAAAACCGTTGTTCCTGTTCTCTCCGGTCGTGTCGGATAGCCGTCCTATCGGATTATGAGAGTGAGGAAATATAGAGTACACCTGTGCTTGCGAACGCACTCGGGCACCATAATCCTGTTCTGCGTAGATGGCCAGTCTCCGTTGAGACTTGCCGCCGTAACCGGAATTCGGTCTGGAGGACATGTTTGTAAAAAACAGTTTAATATTTTGTCTAATAATGTTAGTTTCTTCCTTATATATTGTGCAAAATACAATGCATTTTAAATCACTTGTCATTTATTCACCAAGCATGTGTGAAAATGATCCTTCGAGCCGGATACATATCATTATGTCTGGCTTCAACTAGAAGTTAAATCTGAAAAATAGGTGATCATTAGGGTCACTACATACAGTAATAAGTATAAATAAGTAAATACATATTCATTTGTATTAAAATCTCTTAAATGTGTTAGAGTATAGTAGTAATAGTTTAGTCGTGTACATTTTTAAATTGTACGTAAAATGTTAAAGTTCCTTATTAAATTTAGGTATTTTTGCAGAGATTTCTTCTGGACAGCTGTAAAAATGTTTACTTACGAAGAACACAACAAAAAAATTCCTTTAATGAAATGGACCGTATGAAGTTTTTGGGCATCTTAAGTCATGAGTGTAGATAGAATAATTATAGCAAATTGCTTATTATTTATTTGTTCACGTGTATGTTTATCGATGTATGTGCTTCGTGTATAATATATTATTTAATGTCAGACCAAATATTCATATTCTGTGTGTGATGTAAATACATCTACTTTGATTGTGAGTTTTAAGATCTGTCATTTCTTTATCATGACTATATGTTATGTCGGTAGCCATTGATATTTATAATTATATTTATAATGCATAGTTCTCAATATACGAAACATGTTCCTCGATCTTTTGTAAATTTTATATTATATAAGATGTAGTTACAAAATGCCTGACACGAAGTGCAGATCTATACATGCAAGCATTGAATAAGATGAGACTAAGAATGGTACCCTTAGTGACTACATCATATTTGATCTTTGAAATCCAATGTATTTCATTTTAGTATTGTTATATTTTTACTTATTAATTTGTTTCAGTGATAAACATTTTGTAACAAATAATATAAAATTGATTATTGTGATTTTAATCGAATAAAACATAAATTTTTTAGTCAAAAGATGAAGCGAAAGGAAACGTAATATTACCATCCAAATGTATCCTTAACCTAATTAATGTTATACTAAGTTTCACTTAATATATTGTTCCATTATTGTGCAATATTTTACTAGTCATTGCTATAAGCAGTTGTATTTTTAACTAACTGTTCCCCGCGACATAATTTTTATATATAATGGCGTATAATTTTTTTTTTGCGGGGAATCCTAATTATTTTTGTAAAATATAAGTAGCCTAAGTTACTTCTTATATAATATCTGCTATTTGCTACTATTAGCCCAGTCAATATCGGTCCAGCTTTTAAGAGATTAGCAGGAAAAGACAGTCAGACAAAATTTTTAAAAATTGTGTTTTTGTTTAAGTACCGTATATACTTTCGTATGAATTTAGTACAAAGTTGTTACTTTGACATTACATACACATTTTATGGTTGGATTTTGTCGTACATCAATTTTTATTGCAGACCTGAAATATTAATAGGATAGTTAGCCAAAATAAAACTTAGGTATAATTTTAAGATCTGTGCGAAAATCTTTTCTTACTGCTTAGTTAACATCAGACTATGTTAATTAAGCAGTAAAAAAAGATTTTCGCAAGACATTCGCTATATATACCTTTATACCAGTAATAGTAACAAACGAACACATCCACCTGAGGATATGGATGCTGTGGTCTATAGAGATCTACATCTATCCGTGACTATGAATCAAAAAGTGGATGCGTTGTCACCATGGCTCATTACAAAGGTCACCGATTCTCATCACTCGCAACATGAAACACAATAGATTTCTGCGGCCTTTTCACGCTAGAATTATGCGTGATGTTTTAGACGTGGATCGGTATCACGTCTGAAGATCAATTTTAGATGAGCGAAATAACTTGTTATCTCTGCAATTTGAAAGGGATAACTTTGCAAAATAAGTGGCAAGAGACTTAAACGAGTGCTATTAGCATTTAACCCTCAAGCGCTACAAAAATCCTATGCACGTCGCATGCGACCGCACCCACCCACAGCACTTCAAACCATTAAAACTTATATTTAGAGACTACTTTTCCATGAAGAAGTTTGTCATTATAAAATCTATACAAAATTCTCTATCCTGTGGTCTAAACAAAAGTCAGTTTTTACTTCATTACAAAAAGATTTTATTAAAAAAAAAGTACCAAGCGAATGTCGGCAGCGTGAAAAATCACAATTATTTCAATATATATTATTCTAAATTATTTACGTAAAAAGATAAAGTATATTCACACAAAAACCTTCATTACAATTTGATAATAAAACACTATACTAAAACACTAGAAAAATCCAAAAATCGTCACAATAACATTCACGCGAAAATGGCGTACGAATGGCGTACGAAATGAACGTAGATTATAAACAAATATACATAAAATAACAGTTCTTTATTGCACTAAAGGATAGAGTATTTCATATTGATTATATAATGCCAAACTTCTTCATAGAAAAGTAGTCTCTATATATAAGTTTTTATGGGTTAAAGTGCTGTGGGTAGGTGCGACCTCATGAGACCGCTAGGGGCTTGAGGGGTTTTAAATTAGCTTAGGTAAATGTCTTTTCTAAACACGCTTTTAGCTTCGCGTGTATCTATCTATCTATATATGTAACGTAATCTTGTTATGTAATTTTTACCAACTTGCAGACGGCCGATTGACTTGAAAATTTGCACTCGTATGACCTCTGTACTCTAGCGATGGCAAGTCAATAGTTTAATTACTTTATCCTAGTATTCTGATCAAGATCACCAGGATAAAGAAAAATAATTTATCTTGAGCGCGCTTCTTTAGTTTAATAAACTATAATTTAATTATTAGAGAATAAGGGTGACAAACGAGTACACAGTCAACCTGAAGTTAAGTGGATGCTGTGGTCCATAGACATCTACATAATCCACGATTAAGGATCAAAATGTGTATGCGTTGTCACCCCTGAGAAATAACATAGAGTGCCTCGTTCCCAGTAAAATGCGTAACTAAGTAACTGTCAGAGCGTGGTCCAGCGCCGGTTTAGCCGACCCATTCATGCTGAAGTTATGTAAGCTAGCATAACTGCAGCGTGGCTCTACCAAATAATTATTTATTTTTGTTGCGATTGTCGAATAAAGTACCCAGAATAAAATGTAACTGGAAGAACATAAAATACGACAAAGCCGTATCACTGGTTGCTTTTGCCTTCTGATTTACAATTCATATTATACAACAAATAATCAGAAACTCACGACACCAACGGCACTTTATTTCTATAATATTTAATAAATATTTAAGATAATAGTTTATTATTCTCACAACTATAAGAAACTATAATAATTTCCTGCATTTTTCTTAACCCGTCCTACAATATTGTATTACTTAAGCTTTCTACGTCGCTACATTCCCAGTTTGTGTAGGCAATTAAGTGGCGCCCTCTGTTTTACAATCTCATTATATATTTCAGTAGGTATACATTTTGTAGCATTTCAATTTAGGCGCAGTACTCGACATAACCTGACATGTTTGACATGAAAGTAATAAAATAATGACTTCTTATTTAAAATTACGTAATAATTTGAATAGATGCGAAGATTATTTTAACATCAAACACTTTACATACATACTTATAGTGTTTTATATATTTTTACAAATAAAAAAATTAATATTAATGTCGTGCCATCTTTGGATAATCTTTAGATTATAAGAAGTAATATAAGCTCTTAGAAACTTTCTTTGACTTCTACTTAACTCATTTTTGTTTTAATTTAAATAAACTGCACATCTCTGCCTGGTATGGGCTTCACTAATTCTACTATGTCATGCTTATTTAAGAAAGAGACTAAATGAGTATAATGTTGCGTGTGTGCAATAGATAGGATTAAATATTTTTGTAACAATTTTAATGGAGAGAATTAAACGCACAAATGTGCGCACGTTACGCTGCATTATGCTTAACTATTGATTGAGAATTTTATTTCCTTAAAGTTGTCCAAATTTTGGTTGTTCAATCACGTCATCACTAATAAAATGATATTCATTTAAGCCGGTGTATTTTTTTCACTCCACGTAATCTGCATGTACTCGTGCTCTAAGATACCCGATAAAGTTGTGCACACAGACCGACAGACAAATTTTTTAAAAATGTTGGTTATGTCTTAATGTCTTAACCCATGCTCTTAACCCCTCTTGAATATTACAAACATTTCAATTTTAGTTATATATATATATATATATATATATATATATATATAGATAACAATATACAGGAGTTCCTTTGTAAACTACTGTTACGAACGAAAACCATTTTTTTTAACCCTTTACCAGGCCCCAGAGAACTGCCGTAGCAACATTGTTTCTTTTTATGGATTTGTATACTTATAAAGGCTCTGTTTCATATTGCATCACTGAAACTGAAAAAAAATGCTAAAAACATGAAAAAAAAAAACATGTGGGAAAACATAATCCCATTGCCCGCCTTGAGATTGAGATTGACTATATATATAAGTGAAAATGAGTTTGTCTGTTGAGTTTTTTTTTTATATCGGACTAAACAGGCGTTTAACCGCAATCTCACCTGTTGGTGGTCACCA